TTTCTCAAAAATAAATGGTGATAATAAAAGGTTGCTAACCTTTCATTTGCCGAGAATATTTTAAATATACTTTATTGTTGTCTCCATCATTTCTTAAAATAAGAAATAGTTTGTTGTAAATGTTCTCTGCAGCTTATATTCTGTTTACTGTGAATACAAACTGGAATAAATTGTGTTCAGTCTGGAAAAGGATGAGTTGAATTTGGCAGGATTTGAAATGCAAGTAATCGGTCTCAAATTAAACTCCAAATTCTCGCATCCAGCATGGACACCTGGAGATGTTTGTATGAACTGATGGCCTCTAGACACTGCTTTCAGATCGCTGGCATCAGTATATATGGCCAAAAAATGATTATGTGAATACTTTATACTTTTTTCCAAAGGAATGTCTCAGTTATTCTATCCTATGTTCTATATTCAAAACAATATATCTGTAGTATTAACTGCAGTCTGTTTCCTCATGTAAGTTTAAGACTTGTAGAGGAAATGTAGAGAAGACAATCTCAGAAAATAAACTGCATCTTTTTTTCGATATGCACGTATAATCTTTACTTTTTCCTCTGCCAGATAGTGAAAACATCACTATGGAACAGCATTTGAGAATTCAAGGGTAGAAGTATTAGCATTTACTAAATATTTTTTATTCTTTAAGCTTTGCCTTTAGTCTATTTTTTTTTCTCCTAGAATAGGCTTATGTTAAAATTTCCTTGCCAATTCCATCATGGTATAATGCTAGTGGTAAGTGTATAATAAATAGATACTAGATTTTAAAAACTTATTTATAAATAACACTTCAATATGTTTTCAATTTAATTTTGTCCAAATTTTGTTTTGAATCTCCGGAGATATTAATACATCTTCTCAGGGTCTGTAATAAAAGAGCTTGTGAGGGTACCTGGCTGGTTCAGTTGATAAGAGCATGCAACTCTTGATCTCCAAGTCATGAGTTAGGTGTAGAGCTTACTTAATTAAAAAAAGAAAGAGAGAGAGGCCACCAGGGTATCTCAGTTGGTTAAGCGTCTGATTAACCAGGTCATGATTCCAGGGCCCTGGGGTCGAGCCCTGACCCCTGCATCTCATCAGTCTCCCTGATGAGCTGAGAGTCTGCTTCTCCCTCTGCCCCTCCCCCTGCTTGTGCTCTTTCTCCCTCTCTTGCTCTCTCTCTCAAATAAATAAATAAAATATTTTTTGAAAAGAGGGAGAGTCAAGGGATGGAATCAAAACAGGTAGAAATAATGGAAAAGTGATATATATATTTTTTTATTTTATTTTATTTTAGAGACAGAGAGAAAGGACACATGGGGGAGCAACGGAGAGGTGGGGGCAAAAAGAGAGGGAAAGAATGTCTCAAGAAGATTCTGTTTAACCAGCTGAGCCACCCAGGAGCCTCTTTGAGATTTATTTTTAATGAATCACCCTTCAAGATGTTCCCTTATGTAGTTATGAATGTTGTCAAATGACAAAACTAAAACAATTTATATTGAGTTTGATGTCCTTTACTCAAGGGAAAACAATCCATCAATCAGGGGTGTATAGTTAGTGCCTCACAAGCAGTGGAGCAACCTTTTTTAGTGACCTTGGGCAAGAGGAAGCTTTGTGGAATGTTAGAAGAGGTAGCAGGGCACCATTCGCTAGGAGGCCAGGAATTTCTTTATAAGCTTAGCAGGTCCTATTTTCTAGGGTAAAGTAAGCTAGTAAAAGCTGACTTGGAAGATTGTGATGGCGTATATGAAGATTTTTTAACAGGAGGCCTTTCCTGTGTGGGCTGCCAGGTTTAGATCTGTGAAGTGGGCCAGGCCACTGCTGTGGCCTCCATTCTGTGGGGCCTGAAATGTGAATTAACTTCATCAGTGCCTTATAACAAACCACCTATCAAGTAAATAGAAGTCATTTTGGAAGCCAAAAAGCCGACCCCCTGAACAAGTAAAAAATAGATATTATATTTGGATTTGACAGGGGTTCCCTGACTTGCAAGCATCAAAATCACCTGGAGGGTATATCAACGGACAGACACTGGACCCCAACCCCAGAGTTTCTGATTGGGGTGTATAGAGTGGGACTAGGCAATTTGCATTTCTAGTATATTCCCTGAAGGCTCATACTGCTTGCCTCTAGAACACACTTTGGAAATCTTTGGTCATGGAGAGTCAAGAACACTAGAAGAATGCCCAACACATATAGGAATTAAGCAGAATAATGATATTGAGAATACTGTTGCAGGAATTCTCTGCTTTTAGTGCCTGTGGTCCTTGGTCTCATAGCTTTGAAGGATGAAGAGGTAGACCAGACGAAGAGTGATGGGCAGCAAAGTTTATTGAGCAAGAGTATAAAGCTCCCAGAGAGGGAGGGGCGGCCAGAGGGTTGCTCTAGGAATTTGTAAGGATTTTTACAAGCTCTTTTGCAGAATTATTTTAAGCAATCAGGGTATGCTGAGTTGTGCCAATCAGGGCTTTGGTCATGTGTCTGTCTATCTATTAGGCTAATGTCTATGTGCTGACGGTCATTCTTTGGTCAAAATCTGGGGCTTGGGGATCCCTGGAGCCTGCCTTCGGCCCAGGGAGTGATCCTGGAGTCCCGAGATCGAGTCCCACATCAGGCTCCCTACGTGGAGCCTGCTTCTCCCTCTGCCTATGTCTCTGCCTCTGTGTGTATGTGTGTGTGTGTGTGTGTGTCATGAATAAATAAATAAAATCTTTATAAATAAATAAATAAATAAATAAATAAATAAATAATAAATAAGATCTGTGGCTTATGTCTTAACTGCCCTCCTTGCTCATGATAGGGACAAATGCCTTGTGGTTAATTGTCTTATTTTAGGACATTTTGCAGAAGTCACTTCTGCAAAAGCTGCAAAACAGAATGCTAGTGCACACCTACCTAAGCTACAAAACACGATGTTAGTGCTGCTTTCTTTTAACCATCTTGACTCCATATTTTCTTGTTAGGGCCCCTGGCCCTGACTATCTAAGTGTTCAAATAACTCTTAACAATGTGACCAAAAACAGTAAGAGAAGAGATAGACCTAAAAGGGAGAATGGAGAGTAGCAGGGACCCACCCTTACAGCAAATAGGAGCACCCATCAACCCATTATAATGATGTTTCTGGAGCCTGCAAGCAAAGTCAACACAACTAGAGCCTCTTCAAATTGGATAAGTATCAATTGGATTAAAAGCTAAGATTAGTGTGATGAATTCTACCAAAAGTTGCACCAGGGTAAAATATCAAAGTCCTCTGAATGTTTTGATGCACATTCTATCTTCTCTAAATGCATAAATCCTTAAATATAATGTTTCTCTCTTACAGTCCTTCCTGACCCACGGGTTTCCTTATTTCCATGCCCTCTGCTGCCTTTTGAGGTCTTTATGCCTCTTTTGTTTTCTGAACTATAACAAAGACATTTTATATAAATACTTATATAAAATGATGCTTCCGCTTACCTGAAGGAAATGCCCGAGTCTTTAACAGTAACAGTGACAGCGCCCATTCTCCCTTTGGCAAATTCATTTCAGGTGTCCTTAATGAATGAATAGTCATTGATTTGTATGCCAGAGTTACTTTTATCTGTTTATAAAGTTAAAGTTCAAGGCGCTGAATTCTAGGACATTAAATAGAGGCTTCATTGCTTCAGTTCTCTGTTCAGTGAATGAGTTTCCAGACAAATACGTTCAGGTTTTTTAAGATGTTGGCCCCTCTGAAGGAGACAGGAAATACTCTCAACTTAGTTCTTTTCTTCTGATTGATCATAACAGCCATAAGTGTTCCTTGGAAATTCCCTGTAAACAGAGAGAAAAGGGTGAGTGTTGGTTACAGTGTGGACTACAGTGTTGGACGTCCTTCTGAAGAGGCAACGGGTGGATCCTTTGTGTTATCCCAAAAGATAAAAACCAGATCATCTGCCCGCTAAACCAGTAGAAGTTAGCAGCAATCAGGATGTTTTCAACCTAAAAGCATATTCTTATGCAAGGATTAAAATCTGGAATAAATGAAAAGCAGGAAACAAGATTAGGAATGAAGAAGCTAAAAGTTTCCACCGAAACCTACAGAAGAGAGTCAGGGTAACAGAGACATCTTTAATTATGGTTCACAGTTGAGAGCATGGATATAACATGTTTTCAGGGATAAGAAAGACTAATAACTTAATGTCTTTTGTCACATGGAGAGTCTCTTTCTCCATCCCACCCTGGCCCATGAGTTGACACTTGGAGGTCCAAGCTACATACTCCCTTTTCAGAGCAATCACATAGCTTCTTGGTTTTTTTTTTTTTAATTTTTATTTATTTATGATAGTCACAGAGAGAGAGAGAGAGAGAGAGAGAGAGGCAGAGACACAGGCAGAGGGAGAAGCAGGCTCCATGCACCGGGAGCCCGACGTGGGACTCGATCCCGGGTCTCCAGGATCGCGCCCTGGGCCAAAGGCAGGCGCCAAACCGCTGTGCCACCCAGGGATCCCAGCTTCTTGCTTTAAATTAAGGCTTGCTAGACTTTGAATTGAATGAAATATCAAGAACAAAGAAACCTTTGGAAAAGCAAACACTGAAGATATTATTTTTCTAGGTTGTTCTTAGGCAACTTGCATTTTTTAAAAGATGGATTACACTTGACAGGAAAAAAGTTTAATAAATTATGGTGCCATAATTCTGTGAGGTTGTCATTAAAATTGATCATTCTGGAAATTACTGAATAACATAGAAAAGTAAAATGAAAAAATCAGATAACCAAGTAATATATGCACTGGTTTTAATTTTGTTAAACAGTATTTGAGCATGCAAACAACCAGAAATATTACACAAAAATTAAAATTATATTTCATGTCATTATGGATAATTCTTCTATTGATTTATACCATCTTTTATCTAGCAAAGTTTTTGAAGTTTTATATTAAAATATTAGTCTTTTTGTATGGAATCCCATACTTTTTTAGTGTCAACAGTATTAAATAACTAGAAATTTAAGTTTTGGATCTTTGTGTTTTGTTTTGTCTCTATGTGTCTTTCCATAGGAGTGGAAACTCATCAATGCCAATCTTCTCTACTGGGAGTGGACCATTTGTGAAATTAAACACAGCACCTAATGGCAGCTTAATACTAACACCAAGGTGGGTCCCAAAATCTGTTCTTGGACTAATTGTACTTGAACTGGAAAGAAGATAGATTTTGAAACTTGTTAGATTTTAATGCCACCACATATTAGCCATAAAATCTTGAAAGTTATTAATTTACTTTTTTATTATTCAGATAATCTCAAATAGTACCTAATGGATCCTATCTGATAACATTGCTTAATCCTCATGTATACAGTAAGACAGTCAAATGAGATACTTCATATATAATTGTGCTATGCACTGATAGAGATTCAATAAATTTTACTTCTCTGTCCTTTCTATCCTTACCTTCAGATTCATAAACAAGTAAATCCCCAAAGAAAAGAATTGTGAGAGCTGGGATAAGTAAGTCCACTGTCAGATTAAAGAGGGCGACACAAATTAGCTATCAACCAAAGACAAGAGAAGAGGGAAAGTCATGGTACTTAGCAAATAGAACATGAGTATTAAGTGAAAGACTCCAGACTTCTAATTGTGCCTACATATTCTCTTTTTTAAAATTAGATTCATTTTTATAGCTTTTACTAATGTTAAAAAACCAACATCTTTCCTGTATTCAAAGATCTATTTTAGCTTAGATTGTATCATTTCTCCTATTTGTGCATTAATGATACTTTTTTGTTGAAATGGGCTTTTGAATTTTACAGTTCCATTAAAGGCCAACTGGAAGGGGGAGGCAGGGAAGGGAGGAGACAGTAACTCCAAGACGAAGCCATAAGTACTGACAAAGATTTAAGATGTCATTGCTGGTGCATTAGCTTGCAGTTTTTTGTATAACATACTTAATGGTGAAAAATGAAATTATGTAGTTATTCAACTATTCATGAAAAGTTATCATATCTGTGAGCTGAACCAGTATAACAAGTTGATAAAGGAATATTTTTAGTACCAAGGACTTTGCAATTGAATGTTTCATATGAATGCTTGCTGGTCCTTGACTGATATTATTAGTCTCATGGGGGGGAATCAAAGCATTTTCAAGTGAGAAAGCAGATTTTGAGATTTCCTTCTATAAGCATGTCTAAATTTACATTAGCATTATCGATCTTGAGCAGTTTGCACACTGAAAATTTCTTTTATTTGTATCTTGTAGACTTTTAAGAATAAGAAAAAGGACAAAGGATAAATGGTTTTAAAAATTCATCTCAGCATACGCATGTTTCAGAGCAGATGTAGGTTATTCCATGCTTATCGTCAAGATGGCAGTATCAGTGCTGTCCCTATTGTCTGTATGTTTATGTTACTTGAAAGAGTTCTATGAAGGGCACCTGGGTGGCTCAGTCTTTTAAGCATCTTCCTTAGGTTCAGGTCATGATCCCAGAGTCCCTGAGATGGAGCCCACATGGGCTGGCTCCCTGCTCAGCGTAGAGTCTGTTTCTTCCTCTGCTCCTCACCCTGCTTGTGCTCTATCTCTCTCTCAAACAAACAAAATCTGAAAAGAAAAGAACAGAACAGAGAAGAGAAGAGAAATAGAAAAGAAAAGAAAGAAAAGAAAAGAAAAGAAAAGAAAAGAAAAAAGAAAAGCAAGAGTTCTATGACTTAGGGAGTATTGCTCTACTCTAAGGCCGAAGGAACAGAAGCTTGGTGTCGATAAGTGACTAGGACACGTTTCCAAAGTCGGAGGCAACCCTACATCGCTCCGCTTTTCCACTCTACTGTGTTATCTTCCAAATTCCCCAAGGCAACAGCTCACTTTAAATAGCAGTTCTGGAAAGGAGAAAGAAAGAAAAAGGCATAGCCTTTTCAACAACAACAAAAAAGCCCATGTTGTCGAGTGAGAAATTAATCCATTTTGTCAGTACAGTGGATATACACCCATCCATTTATATCATACTAGGGCCCCACAGGGCTGAGAGAAAGACACAGGATCATGTCACTGCATACGTGATATACCCATATCTAGGTAGATACACATGCCTGCACACTGCTTATTAATAAAACCTAAAGTGTATTTTCTTATATTTCTTCATGTCCAGAGGGCTAAGTTAGCTCTGATTTCAGGACCAAAGGCCAGGACAGTAATTCCACTTCCCTCCAATCTCTCTAAATATACCTGGACGAAGTGTGGATTCACTGCTCATTCTGACCAGGCACTAAGCAATTTATTCCTCTACACTAAGCTCCTGCATCTGTATGCTTATGCATGAAACATTTGACTAACTGAAATGCATGGAGAGTGAGGGACAAAGTTCAGTTCCATTATCAGGTTAACTTAATAGTTACTTTAATTTTTAGAATTTATTCAACTCTTCTATGGTTGCCTAAAAGAATATCATCGGTTTTGTACATACTACAGAGCAGTAGGCATCATTTAATATCTAAGAATGCTGAGGCATTTTAAACATGGATTTTCACTGATGAGTAATGGATATAGAAAGAGTTTGGGTGAACTTGAAAGTATGCTGGAAAGCATTCTAGAAACAACTTCTCTCTCAACCATGAGTATATAACAGAAGGGGAGTTAATTGAGGCTTCTTCTTTGGGGAATTATAAGTAGATATAGATATAGATATAGATAGATATAGATAGATATAGATATAGATATAGACATAGACATAGACATAGACATAGATATATAGATATTCCCATATCTAGGTAGATATACATGCATGCACATTGTGTATTGATAAAACATAAGTATATTTTCTTATATTTCAATTGAAATTACCTTCTATTCTCAACGATATGTCAATTGGACAGTATGAATGCATGTGATTTCAAGTAAACCTTACCATGTATGTTCCAGAAACACCGAATTGCTTTGATTGTATTTGGGATCTCATATGGATTTGGAGTCTTGTTTTAGGGAAAATTCTCCCTAAAATTTCAAACACCTAAATAATATGTGCAACAGATGCAGTTAAATATATAAGTTGAAATCATTACTTGTTTGTGTACGTTTTTGTTTCAACGTGACCAATATCTGTGTAGCCACAGGAAGAGTGGGAGCAAGTAATTTAATTCCTTGTATTATACTGATCTCTAGTGGTCAGGAAGTATAACACACTTTTAAACTATTTTCCTTTGTTTAAATTACTGTTTAAAATAGAATCCTTAGCTTTGAAAAAAAAGTTTGTATCCAAATATTTAAACAGGTAGTGAGTTATTAAATTATATATGTCTACACTTTGTATTTTCCTGTTTATATGCTTATTTCCCTTGAAAGCAGGGCCAGTGATTCATTCATTGTTGAATTTTCTGAGTAGAGTTACAGCCTCATACACAGTGCAGGCACTGAATAGGTCTCCAATTAGCCACACTGAGACATATTCTGTATTATAGAATGATGAAATGCAAGGTTGGTTCAAACAAGCTAATAATAACTATCATTTATTGAGAGATCATTGTGTGTATGGCACAATAACTCCAGTGCAAACATTTCTTTTTACTTCTCACGAAATTCCAGTAAAGTAAGTACTATTGCCCCCATTTTATGGATGACAAAACTGAATCTCAGGGACACTGAGTAACTTATCCAAAATCACATGAAATGTAAGTGGTAGAGTTAAGGGCTCAAACTCAGTTCTAATGGAGTTCAAACTAAGGATTTTCTTGCTGTGTGTATCAGCCTCCCCATTTTTCATATATGATACTTACACTTGAAGGTTAATTCTACTAAAAAAATAAGATGAAAAAAAAATAAGATGATGTGCATTATGTTCTGTTTTAAAACATTAGGTGCACAATTTCTGAAATATAATTGTTCTTCTATTACAGTGAACAATGTTTCCAAGATTCATTGATTCTGTTACAATGTAACCATAAGTGTAAGTAAATATTTTGTCATATTTTCTTTCCTTTAAGCCTTCTGTTTAAAATTTGGAATAGAGGGGGCATATCACCTGAGGTTATTTTGTAGTGATCCACTCAATTTTCAAAATCAGAGGAAATCCACCAAAATAAAATAGATGCTCTTTCTTCAATTATTTTAATAGGGTGTGGAAACAAACTGGTGGCTCGAGAAGTCAGCCCAAAGATCGTTGGAGGAAATGATGCCAAAGAAGGAGCCTGGCCCTGGGTTGTTTCTCTTTATTATAATGGCCATCTGCTCTGTGGTGCTTCTCTCATCAGCAACGACTGGTTGGTGTCTGCTGCCCACTGTGTGTATGGGTGAGTGTGACATCGCAGTGTCCCCTCCCAAATGAGACACCACAGCAGACACAGTGCATCCCACTTCATGCAGCCTCACGTACTCAGGGAAATGTTCCTGCTCTTTATGATACTATATAGCATCAATAATATTCCCACTAAAGTCATATATAAAAATACAGAAAGTTAAATGGAGGATCATTCTTCATTAGATACTTGCATCAAGTATTGTGTTTCCTACGTATGTAAAAATTGAAATTCTTACCTACACAGGTAAGAATTTTTAAAGGTGTAAAATTCATATTGAATGTGTAAGTTTTGCTGGTTATCAATCAATCAGGCCAATATGTAGTTTCAGAAATTGTCAGTATCAGAAAAGCATGTTTAGATAGCCCTCATGTTACAAATAAACTGTGCTCTAGAAGTTCACATGTAAGGACTTTGTGGTGAATTAGGATAAAAATGTTTCCTTCTCAAGTGAGATCTATTTTGATGCTACTCATAACTAAAACTTAGAAGTAATATCAAACCAGATTTGACTCTTCTTTGATTACATGATATGACAAAATACATAGAGAGAAGATAGATCTTAAGGGGTGCCTGGGTAGCTCAGCAGTTGAGTGTCTGCCTTTGGCTCAGGGCATGATTCCAGAGTCCCAGGATCGAGTCCCACATTGGGCTCCCTGCAGGGAGCCTGCTTCTCCTTCTGCCTATGTTTCTGCCTCTCTCTCTCTCTCTCTCTCTCTCTCTTTCTCTGTGTGTGTGTCTTTCATGAATAAATAAATAAATCTTTAATTTAAAAAAGTAGGTAGATCTTAGAATTCGAGATCTATCTTCTCCCTCTAGAAGCAGCCATACTCTAAGCAGTACCACAGGGGAAAAAAGAGCAGGTGAAAGACAGGAAGAAAAGGTGGAGAAAATAAATATTCTTAGACCCCAAGAACATGTTGATTTTCTGCTTTCACCTTCCTAGGTAATCCCATTCTAACACTTATGAATTAGGCCAGAAAAAAAAAAAAGGTAGCTTCCTCATAGAAGATTCATAAGCCCTGACCTAGGGCAATTTCCTGCCCTTAATTGAGTAAAAGAAGCCTCCAGAGAATGACCTCAGCTGTGAGGATTAGGATGAGCCTCTCTGTGGCCAGCGTCCAGAATCTTTGAGAAAAGAACCACATGTGCTCAAGAATGGAAGACATAGCTGTAGTTAATCAGATAAAAAAAAAATCAGCTCTCTACCAACACAGACATTGAAAGTTCTTGAATGGACGGAGACAAATTGTCAGATGCAAAAGGTTATGATAGTTATTTGGGAGATGGGAGTGAGGGGCAGAAGGAATGAGTGGTTGATCCCACTGGACCAGAGTGAGAGAAAACTTGAACTCAGAACCCAAAGAATCTGAAATGAAGACCCAATAGCTAGATCCCAACTGGACTGATCACCTGGGCTCCGACAGGACTACCCAAGTTACTACCTGTTTATACCCAAAGCTCTTTGGTTCTATACATCACACCCTCTACTGGATGAGTAAACTACAGCCTGTCGCATACCTAAACTACCCCTTCGTGACTTTTCTGCCTCTTGATAATTATATTTTATTCTGTTTTCAACCACATAACAAATGTCTATGGCAGTCAATTTTCCCATCCCCTGCTAAACATGACTTTAACTTTTACCTATTCATGCTCTATGCCTTGGTATGCCACAGGTGGGTAACCTAAACCTCAATTTCCAAGTAAAAGATATCTTTGGCTACAGGTTCATTGTCATTTTCTATTGCACAAAGACAGATCTTAGTAAGTTAGCAACCTCCCGTATTAACCTTGGACTTGCTAAATTAGTCCGTTTGATGTTCTCGCAGAACATATGCTTTCTAAATGTCAGCCAGGCTTGTAGTAATATTAGTGACATCTTTCATTTATCTACCTCACAGATGTATTAGTGTAGGTCAATGCTACCCATACCGTATCTTTTCTTTTTTTAAAGATTTTTTTTTTATTTATTCATTCATGAGAGACACAGAGAGAAAGAGAGAAACAGAGACACAGGCAGAGGGAGAAGCAGGCTCCATGCAGGGAGCCCGAAGTGGGACTCGATCCCGGGACTCCAGGACCACGGGGCCGAAGGCAGGCACTAAACCGCTGAGCCACCCAGGGATCCCCATATCGTATCTTTTCAAGCCACAAAAGAAATGGAAAAACAGTTTCATCCAATATAAACACATGTTTAACCATATAAGACATAAAATATCTTTTCACAGTTTCAATCTGAACACAAGCAAACAAGCAAGTGTAAGCTGTAATAGAATTGTGATGAATTCAAACTCATCCTCGCCCACCTTGCATTTTGCTCTCCAAAGCCACTGAGTGGTATTATTTCTTCTTCCCAAGAAATGTATATCTGGTGCAGGTGTTTTAACTTGCAGGTGGTTAAATGGGTTAATTGGACAGCTCTTCTCTGTATACATTCTTATTGTCCACACTCCCGTTCCCATCCCTCAGCCACAGTGTTCCTGGGTGTCATGAAATTTCACTATGCCTCTTCTTTTTCTCTGTCACTGGTTTCTCTTCTTTTTGAACCTTAAAACAGATTTGGAGAGCATGGACCAGCTGTGGTTTAAAGGCAAGGTTGACTTTAGACCAGAGGGCAGAATTTTGATCCTACTAATGCTATTGACCTTATGTCACTTGGTAGCTCTGTTTCTGTATCCTCCTCCACAGTGTGTTCAGAAAGACATCTGCCCCCTAGAGTGATTATCAGGACCCAAGTAAGAGGATGCAATACTTTCGCATACTATGAATTACATAAATGTACAATAGAATTCCTATCGTGCTCCTGTTCCTGTGCAGGAAAGGTCTGTGAAAGAAGATTCTTATTCTTTCCCGGGAGACATTGAGTGTATTTCTTTCTTAAACCTTTTATATTACTACAGTTTCAAGCATGCACAAAATTTGCAAATAATAGTACAGGGAACGTTTGTATATCTTCACTGAGATCCACCAACTGTTTCAATTTTATGGTATGAAAACTTCTTTATCATTCTTTCATTCTCTCCAGTCTGGAGAAATACTTTTCCAGAATCACTTGGCAGTGGATTAGACATTGTGCTCTTTACTCTGTATTTTTAGTAAGAACAAGGATATTTTCCTATATAATCACACAAAAGCATGGAAATTTAACATTAATGTGATACAATTATCTAATCTATAGTATGTATTCATTTTTGTCACTTGTCCCAAATATGCCCTTTGTAACCTTTTTGTTTGTTTCTATGTTTTCTGCCCACAAACTAATCCAAGATAATGCACTGCATTTACGGACTACACCTTTAATCTTGAAGACACTTTCTGCCAGGTTATCTTTCTGTCTTTCTTGTCTTTGCTATTTTTTAATACAGCAAGTTATTTTATAGGAAGTCCTCCTATTTGGTGAAATCCTTCAAGCTTGTCTACTTGTTTGTCTTGATATATCTCCATGCTTTGAGAACTTCTTTATTTTCTGCAAAATAAGATGTTCCAGGTTCGTCTTGTGCTTTTTCTACCTTAGTCCTTAAATCAAGCTTTCTATAAGAAACCCCCATTCCATTTAGCTATTTTTAGTTCCACATTTTAAAAAACAAGATCTAGTGTGCTCCTTGTACAGCTGCTGTGTCCTACTCCTAGACCCTCTCAATAGATAGAACACCTACAAATATGAACGCAAAATGACAATTCCAAATAAAATAGATTACCACAGGGTACATTCTGATCTTTTCTCCTGTGTTTGCAGCACCTGTCCCCAATAGTAAGAAACCTGTCCCTACTATCCACAAAATATTTGTAGATTTGCTTAAGTTTAGAACACAAGTTGTTCGAGAATTGCCAACCCTCACTATAAAGCAAACTTGTCACATAGTTTGATGTTTGTTTTTCATTTTTTTACCACTGACATAGAGTAAATACATAATTTTAAGTGCACAATTTAATGAGTTTTGGAAATACATACACCTTTGTATCCCACACTCCTATCGACACATTTCCATCACATGCAAAATTCTCTTATCCCTCCTTCTCAGTCAATCACCGTCTCTGCTTCCAGAAGCAACCATTGTTCAGCCTCTTAGATGGGCAGGTATATATAGATTCACAGTCTGGATCACATGTATTAAATACACACACATCAATGATGAAATTATACATAGATCTCTTGTCAACCTCACATTCTTTTTTTTTTTTTTAGAGAGAGAGAACAAGTGGAGGGCAGGGATGAGGAAGGGGAGAGGAAGAAGGAAGCTCCCCACTAAACAGGGAGCATGACATGGAGGCTTGATCCCAGGGACCCTGGGATCATGACCTGAGCCAAAGGCAGTTGCTTAACCGAGCCACCCAGGTACCCCATCAATCTTTCATTCTTTAAGAAGCCCTTTAGAAAAGACCAAATACAGTTACCTCATTATTTATTGAAATAATTCCTTGAAGAAGGTATTAATATTCCTAAAATAGGTTATTTCATATATGAGGCATTTTGGGTATGGCAAGAAATACGTACTACTATTCACATTTTGTTTAGTATTAAATTAATTAAACTGATAATAAAGCTTTGAAGCAGACTTTTTGAGTAGTTAGGTATTCACTATAAAATAACATAACTTAATTGATACTTCTATTACAACTTAAAACTTGGATTCATTCGAGTGCCTCAAATACTTTAAATAGGACTAGGACACAGAATAAACACAAATATAGTCCTTAGAAAATTATTTTGTTTCTATTGAAACTTACCCTAATACATAAACATCATGGTTTTAATTCATTTCTCTATATATCTACCTATTTGATGGCTTTACAAAGTTCAATGTATTATCTCCTTCAGGTTGCAGAAATTCTATAATACTTTTTCTTTTTTACCAAAAACCAATAAGTCACTAACTTAATCTTGAAATCTCTACCAGTCTAAGAAAATGCACTTATTTTTGATTTACAAAAATTACTATAGACTTACTGGTTTTTGGTTTAGAGTAGATCTTGGCTACTTTTTTAAGGTA